TATAAGGGAAACAAAATGAGCCGTAATACCAATTACGTACTTACCGACCAATAAGTTTTTTATCTAATACACTCGTTTCGTACTTCTTTTTATAATTTAAACCACTTGTACTCATTTAGTGAAAATTATACGTCTAGGCGTCTAGGGTTTTAAAAATAGCTACCGTATGACTGATTTTGATAATCTATTTATTGACCATGCACTATAACTGACACTAGATATTGTACACTTGATGGATGATTGGTGCAGTAATTAATAATATAGATCTAATACATTTGACACAACCTACACTAAATTAATGAATTATTGTCCATCTTGGTTGGACTAATATTCTATCGTTTGCCGGACTTTATTTTCGTTTATATTGTAGAAACAGTAATCACGGAATGGTTCAATTTAGCGAGGTGATTGTTGAAAACAAAATTGCTGGTCCCATGTAAATATTGTCTGCATTTGTAAAAGGATAGAAACAAAAGAAAACCTAGGCACTATTCCCAATAGAGAAGAAAATGTTCTCAAGCTACAATCATCTTCATCAGCAGAATAACTTCATGTGTGACATGTCCAGAAACAGCCTTGGAATTTCTATATACAGTTATTTCACAGGCCTCACATATTTAGTCAGACTAATACTTTATACTATGCACTTTAATGCGGCTGGTGCCGGATTAATGATACAGTAGTTGATCTTGAGGTTGTATCACACCAACCACCAATGGGGTAGGTGTTGCCCGGTGGATTTGATCTTCAGCTGTAGCTTCACCTACATATAAAATAGAAAAAATAGGTTTCTCAAGGAGCATTCCCTTAACCAAAAATCATATGGCGATTTAAATATGTTGCTCTATTTTATAACACATCTTAAGATATTCATATCTATTCGGATTAAACAGTTTGTTGTCATTTATTGAAATCTATTTAGTGTCAAGAATTTGAAACCATACCATAATATACATTAATGCACTATTTAACACTCGATAGTTTAACATCATCTCTGGTCGTTAAATTCTGTGGTAAGGAAAATATTCAAATACTCTGATTTCGCTTCATTATTTCGCTGATTTTTGATTTCGCCGATTATTTGACAAACTGTAAATTGGCCTACAAAAATGAAAGACTTGTATCAATGATTTTCGTGGCAGGTGGTGCAATGAAATCTCAGTGCTTCACTGAATGTGTGTTTGGCTCTCCACTGTATTAGCAGTGTGCTGACTTAGTGCACTCAATGGTTGTGAAATATCTCATATACAAACAACAAACTGAAGAAAGTAAGTCCACAATCCGCCTCGTCCTTCACAAATGTAAACATAGTAACGGGAGCAGTCTGCAAACCACTGTCCGCACTCCGAGCTTGGCTTGGCACCGTGCACCATATACCTAACAACTGACACAGACTCACGTAAATAAAGTTACAATTATGTAAATAGACTCTGTAACCTTGATAGTACCTGGATAATACCGGTTTTAGCTGGTTCTCACTGGTTAACGGACTTTCTCTCACTTCCTGGTTGGTCCGATCATCGACAGTTATTCGCCTGCCGATCTCGGTATAATATTTCAATTAAGCACTAAGGAGCTAGTTTTGTTGAGCGTGGGATTTTCATTGGTTCTGAGTGTATCCACGTGGGAGGGAAAGTAAATAGTCAAGATTATACAGTATCTTGAAGGGGTTGTTGGTCCGCACGCAGTTGTCAAAATGAGAGGCGACGGAATGTGGTTCAATTTTCATAGAATCCTTTAGGAATTATATAAATTGATTCGGTGGCTCAGTTGGTGCCACCACGGACTTCGAACCCAAAGCAGAAATGTCGTGGGTTTGGTTCCTGGTACCTGCCACTACCTTGTATCAGTGCAGTTCACGCTAGTACTGGACCGGCTCACACCTTGCTTTCCACGCGCATCCCTCTGTGGCCCAATTGGACGGACACATGCGAGGCAAAAGAAGCCGCCAACTCCTTAAAAAAGAAAAAAATCCATACGATATCCATCGCACCATTTTAGTGTGGCTTGTCACAGCATAAAGGTATTTTTGAACTTAACTGTGACTGTGACTCAAACTGAACTATACACTAAAATATAACATTTATAAGTTTTATTTACAACTCACACTATTAAACCAACTTATTGATTTTATTGTTGATTCCGAATGAAACTAGAGGGAATATTTACGAGGTGGGGAAGATTGTCCACATTTATATGACTGAACATACAGCATTTTCCCTCAAAGGCGGGAGCACCTTCCCTACAATAGGCCCACACCTTGGATGACCTTTAGATAACAGTCTAATTGTTCGGGTCCTTGTAATTGTTATTGTTGTTGTTAGTTAACAATTTGTAGCTGTCACCACACGATAGATACTCGCCGTCAAGCTAGATAAAGAATCGCAGCGGAAACAGTTACGTAGAAGCCTGTTGTCACGTGTAATTTTGTTATGAAACTAAAACACATTGTTGTACATTTTGTATCCATACGACTGTCTTAACGTGTCAGTTTTATTTAAAGTTTAAAGCTAGTTCTTAAAATTATCACTATAAATCGTCATGAAAGTTTTACTAGGAAGTCACCAAATACTTATTCCATACCACTATGTCCTTATGTTACTTATGTCCTTATGTCACTAAGGTTATCGCTGGTGTTTTGAATATACGGGATTCGTGTATTGAAACTTTACTTGACAACTCAAGTCTAGCCTCGTTTTGAAAATATTCATAGTTATAAACAAATAGTAATAATGGTTTTAAAAATCAAACCAATGACGAGCATGTGTAAAATTAAATTCGAATGGCCTACATATTTTTCTACCACTATGTGACAGAACAAATTATCAGTTTGTGATTATGATCTAAACTCCAGAAAGAATTATTCAGTAATGTATATCACATGATCAATATTCCAGCAGTCCTTGGACGTATCCTCCTAATTCCTTCACGGTTCCCTTGCCAAAAGACCCTGTTCAAGATCGTATCGCAGTTGACGAAGGCTCTCGATAGCCATCCAAGGCTCGGTCGTGGTCTGCTGCTGACATTTGCCAAGCTACAGTTCAGCTTGATACAGTCTGCGCAATACAGACTGATGTGCAGTTTCTGATTCAGGGTGGAACGCCTACTTATCCATCTTGTACGCAATCTTGCGGGAGGCGGCGCTTGAGAGTTCGCCAGTGAAGGGCTACTCTGGCAGATTGTGTAGTAGACCTCGTTAGAATATTTTCCTGGTACTCGTACGTGTTGCAACGAGGTCGGCATTGACCTTGCCGAAGGAGTCTATTAGCTTTGTGGTATTTCTGATTGAAAATTATTTTCAACGCTGTTACAATTTCCTGTAAATTCTTTGTTTTTGTTTTATCCTTGTGGCCCACAAATTCGTTCTGGTTATCGCCACTAATTACGAATTATTTGAAATTCATGCTAACCTGCATGAAATATTCATAAGATCGTTTAAAGTCATTATTGCTGTTCTTTCGCCTATCTGATGCACTAGTAGGTTCACCACCAAGTATGAAAAACTATATTAAATTGGCAGAGAGTTCAGATGTCCAATAAACTCATTAGCAGGACGAGTTATGTTCAAAAGCTCTATTCTCCTAATTAAAAAGGCAGAGATGTTCGAATACAGTATTCGGCAACCCTAGAACTAGAACTTGGAACTGAAGTACGCTACACCGTATACATTTTTTCAAGGCTGGAACGAACTAGATACATTAAACAAGAAAACAGAGTTGTAGATCCAAGAGGACCAAAGTCAACCTGAGTGTTCGAAGCCCCTCCTTGCTTTGTAAACATAGCAGGGCGTGTCCAGAGTGCGAGTGCAAGGACTAGGACGACGACCACGCGGTATGCGGATACACCAAGGCCTTCAGGATGGTTGATCACGTGATATCTCAGCTGGCAACGTCCATTCATCTGTCATTGTCTGTGATTCCGCTTATCTTCATGAGCGGCTTGAATACATTACCAGAACGTCAAACCTGTCTTGCGATGGATAACGGTCTGGCGTCTCAATCATCAACTGTTCTCGTTTGAGTCATTTGACATGTGTGCCAAACGGTCGATCCTATAAAACAATTGTTTTTGATCATTAAAAGAATCAGAGTAGTCAATTTTCCTATGAATTTTAGTTTACAAGAAAAGTAGTTTAGTTGATATTTAGTCTCATCAAGTAGGCATATAAATGATAGGCAACCTTTCAAGAACATAGTGAAAATTTCAAAGAGCTGTACGTGAGAATTTCACTCATTTAGGGAAGTTAATATTTTTTTTTATTTTTTGGTTGAGATCTCTGACTCATTTCTACGTTTTGACGTCTGATATTTTGTCACTTGGCAGAATCGTCTTGAACATCGTTTGTAATTGAGAAAGTCAAGTCTGCAGTTGGTGCGGGTGTGGTTCCAACTGCGCAAATCCCCGCCAATATTCGGTGCCAAAGCTTTCTTCTTTCGCAACAGCTGGTGTGCCAAGTCGGTGAAACTTGCGACTGAGACTGCGTTGATGATCTTCTCTGAACTGTGACTCGCGAACTTCCTTTGTCCCACAATGTTTATCGTCATTAATCACTTCAGTCTGTAGTACCCAGCGTGCCTCTTTGTTTCTTATTTCCCATCGCTCGGTCTGAATGAACGCCACAAAGGCCTCCGTCAATCCATCTTTGCTTGCAGAGACGTGCTGTTTAATTGCTCCGACAATGAGGTACTCAGGGTCAACCTCAAGGCTATAGCCCGTCCTGTTCCCACCCACACACTCCCACCATTGTGAATAAACAGAACTTACTTTGTAGATTCGTTGATAAGTTTGCAATTTTAAACTATAATTTTACCCGATTCCAGGAGGCCAATGTAAAATGCTATGTTTAGTTAGGTTTGTTATTCATTAAATGAAAGAGTACTAATATAGAATCAGATTCTGTTTGTAGCTACTGTCTAAGCAAACTTGCTATCTTCTACACAACCTTTGCAAATCGCTCATTTCCAAGCAAAGCACTAACAGTATATTTTCTTTTGTTTCAGCCAATTGGGAGTTGACCGAAGCCAATAAGATGGTAGCAAAATGTGACGATAAGTCGGGTGGGCTGAAGAGTCGAGGGAAGGGTATGAGTAGTGGCGAACTACCGGTTTAAAGTCACTTGGGGCACGTTTTCCCATAAGAAATAACATGGGATCATTTTTTGGCCACTAAAACCAAAAATCCTGATCTTTGTTTAAATATCCCTATATAATTGTCAAACCTTATTTCTTACTTATTCCCCATAAATATATTTGATATTAAGCTAAAAAAGCTATTTCTTACATTTATTGACCCTTACAAGTGTAAATGTAGAGTAGTGGCGAACCCACAATATGACCTCACTTCCGGCATTTTTTGGCCCAGAACTTTTAAAATTTTCGGCGAAAAAAATGTCAGAAGCCCCAGGAGCTTTTTTTGGCCACTTTTCTTAAGGACCCAGCTCTCGACCTATACACCCATATATAAATTTTTTACTTTTTTAATACTGAAAAACACGTCTGGAAATGGTGAGCTTTTTTTGACCACTTTTTTAAAAATCCAGCTCTCGACCAATACAAGCCTATATAAATGATCAATACCATTGTATAACTTCATTACTATTTCAAATCCACATCCATTCACAGGTATATTCTCAAAATCGATCGAGGTTTGTACGCGAACTCGTGCGCGCTCCCGGCTCACGGCGTGCTCCCTTGGACATCCTTAGTGGAAATCCATGAATTCTGGCTACTTGGGAACCCAAGCCATTTGACATATAATAAATCACCTTTTCTCCTAATAACCTTTTCTATCAAATACATGTCTTTATATTTGGTCTTTAACAATTCCTCTGTATAGAAGCCTCCCCTGATTATATTACCATTTTCATCTTTCAAGATATAAGTCACAGGCTTTGTATTCTTTACTTCTGCTATTGCAAATAGTTCCCCTGTCCAATTTGGAGTATAGCCTTTACTAAAAACATGTTTATACTTAGAAATCCTTACGCTATCGCCTACCTTATATCTTGGTTTTTTAACTTGCACTACTTTAGAAGTCAACCTCTCATGCACATATTTACTATTCTTAACATTCACTTGGTTAGGCTTCATTCCTATAGATCTATGCACTTTATTATTATATTTTCGAATTAACTTTGGAAGTAAATCCAACCATTTATAACTCCCCTGAGCACTAAATTCCCTATATAACCAATTCTTTAAAGTTCTCTGAAACCTCTCCACAATCGCAGCCTTAGTTGTAGAAAAAGTGTGATAGTGATTAATATTTAAGTTTTTCATTAGTTTGCTAAAATATTGATTAAAAAATTCTTTTCCATTGTCAGATTGAATGTTTTTAACCCCCTTTGGTAGAATGGTTTTAATGGCTTCTGTAACCACTAACCCTGTCTTATTTTTTAGTGGAGCAGCATAAGCTTTTTTAGAAAATATATCTATTAAAGTTAAAATATATTTATTGCCAGAATTCTCTCTAGCATAGTTTTGCATATCAATTAAATCTATTTGTACAGTTTCGTTTATACCTAATACTTTAAAAGACCTTCTAATGAAATTCTTTCTTGCAGGCTTATGAAGTTCGTATGCAATTTCATTCATTTTTTATAACATCATCCTTTCCTGTAACTCTAAATATATTACCATTAGCCCCAATCAATAGATTATCTTCCATTCTTTTAAATACATAGTTTTCTGGTATATATGGTCTATTATCTATATACTTAAATCCGCTCAAAGATGTAGGGTCGGCAACTAATAAATCAGGATTGTATTCCATCAAATTAAATTTTTTTCCTGCATATACAAATTTTGATCCATCATAATACATAGCTTGTGACATTAAACAAATATCATCTAAATATTCCCCCTTTGGCAGATTCCTTATAAATTGTTTTTTGGCATCCCAACATTTTTCTTTTTTATCAAAAGTTATAGTCTGTTCTTTTGTAACACAGTCAGTGTCATCAATGGCAGGTTTAACACATACTAACCTTTTATTATTAAAATCCCAATAGCCTGCTTCCATTTTTGGAACTTGTGAAACATTCACAGCATCTTTACTATCTGTACCTTCCATCAAATCGCTAAGTTTCTGTTTCTTAGCATTCCAAACACCATTCTCTGATTCCAAAAATTCATAATTATTATCGTCTTGTACAAATTTACCATCTTCTTTTCGTATTAAAGTCTGTTGTAAAGTGGGCACATCATTTAAACTTTCACCCTTTTCCACATTAGTAATTTTCCGTTTCTTAGCATTCCAAACACCATTCTCTGATTCTAAAAATTCATAATTTTTATTGTCTTGTACAAATTTACCATCTTCTTTTCGTATTAAAGTCTGTTGTAAAGTGGGCACATCATCTAAACTTTCACCCTTTTCCACATTAGTAATTTTCTGTTTTTTAGCATTCCAATTTTTATTCTTAGATTCTAAAAACTCATATTTAGTTTTACCTTGTAAAAAGACATCACCTTTTCTAGTTAATGTCTGACCCAAAGTTGATACATCATCTACAAACTCTCCATCTTTAACATTACCAATTTTACGGTTTAAACAATTCCAACTATCGTCTTGTAAATTCAAAGTAGGTTCACTACTAGCCCTGGGTTCTGCAGGCTTATTATATGGATTATATAAACGATAAAATTTATCTATAAACATATTTTTATTTAATAAATAATACCACTTTCTCTCAATTCCTCAATAATGGAATCTATTTCATTATCCACTCCTGAGTTACCGGCTTGGCGACTTAGCCAAAGAAGTCTTAACCTATCTACAAGCTCATTAGGATCATCCCAATAAATATAGTCAATTTTATTACCAGTCACTTGTCTCAAACCTTCACCAACAGATTTAAAAAGAGGTTTAATTATATTAAGATATTTAGTATGTCTATTACTTGAAATTGGTGCACCATCTTTGTAACTCTTTAAATGTCCATTTGTGGCTTCCAAAATCTCTTTATAATTTTGCAAATCAACCTGAGTATAATCCTCAGGTTCTTTTAAAGTTAACAACTGCCACAAGCCTTTTGTCCCCTTGTAGGTTTTATTTGCAACTGTGACATCATCATTGGCAATATCAACTTCCTTATTTCCAATAAAAAATTTATTTGCTTCTCGTCTAATACCATATGTAGTGTCTGTCATACTACTTTTACTGAGGTAATTTCCTAAATAGTCTGATGCTAAAAGACCAAAATCTAATTTCTGTGGAGTGGATTGCTGTAATGGTTGTAATGGTTGTAATCTTGGTATCATTGATATTCTAGATGGAGTCATTGGGAGTATCTCCATTTGAGGCCTCTCTGTTTTGCCAATAGCTGTGATTTTCTTTAATTCTTGTAATGGCTCTATTAAAGGTTGGAATGTTTGGAACCTCTCTTCAGCCTCTAGAAACTTGCCACGTTTTAAAGCTCTATATTTCTCTCGTATTTGATTTGCAGAGTCAACCAATTCTTGTTGAATGTTTTTCATCTTTTATTTACATTTTATTTATCTCATTTGACAAAGGATTGTACTCAAACACTTTATCATGTATTATCAAACAATATGCAGATGTATTTGCTGGCACATTTTCTGCAGTTTCAATCTCTAATTTAATATCAACAATTCCTTCCTTCACTGTTTCGTTCTGTCTAGAACAGTCTATTACAATTAGTGGATATTTCTTCATAAACTCAGCCCTACTAATCATAGGATCTGGGATAGTATTATAGTAAGTCTCTCTAAACCTCATAAACATCTCATAAGCTTTAGAGACATCTCCATTTTCAAAGTCAAGATTTAAATCACTATACGGATAATATTCAGAGTTTAGAAATACTTTGAGATTTTTTAATTTACAGTGATCAAATTCGTCAGTTCTTTTTCGTGCACTATTATCCCTAGCTGTTTGGAAACCAAATATAATATACCTAGGCTTCTCCAAACTGGAAGACGTCTTTACTGACCATGTATGTCTTGTAGTATTGGGATATGATGGAAGTTCATGCAACTCTAAACTTCTAAATGCAATTTGCAAATTTTTATTTTGCAATAACATCTTTTGTAATTGTAACTTCTCCCCATCTGATGGTATCACATGTGGCATGACCCATTGAATAGAGTTAAGTGTAATTTTGGGAATTGTATCAGCAGTGCCACTGGCTGGAGCACTCGTGGTTGTTAATATACAATTCAAATCATTTTTGGATCTTTTCAACACCAATTCTTGTTTGACATTTACTAATACCTTATTAAAATCCTCGAATACACCCATTAACAGCTCTAATGGCAAACAAGTACTAAACTTGCCACTTTTATGGAACTCTTTTAAATTCGTGTCAGAATCAAATGCCACATTTGACAATTTAGTTGTTTTATTGTAAGAGCTCAATATTTTCATAAGACTAGAAATTCCTGGGTTTCTTACAATATCTATTTCTTTACCTGCGACTTCATATCTAATTTCATCAAATAAGAATGCAAATGCATTATTTATAAAATGACCTTTATCATGATTTTCAATTTCTCCCTTAATATACAGATAACTCCTACATGGGAGAGTTAGCAAATCTTGATTATTAATACATATTCGAATTTCATCAGAATTATTTATTGCTAAAGTGTTATGGGGAACATAGGAGTGATTTGTAATTTTAACCACACTATCGTCGAATTGGGATTTCCCTGTAACATCTAGAAAATCTTCCATTTTTATTAATAGAAAATTTTAACTTTAGTCCTATTGATCGTAGGAACCTAGCATTTTGTATACTTATAGATAAATTCTTATAAATTCTCATATCTTTTTTATATGACAAGTAATTGTAGTTTCTTCTCCATTAAAGTCAATTGCCTTGTCATGCTGATCGGCAAATGTAATACTGACAACATCTAAACTTCTCTTATTTACAGGAAAATATATAATATTTCTTGGAACTTCAATAATTTTGTAGCCAGGAGGAGCTTCTGGATAAAAGCTATGTATGGTGTGTGATTTGTTTCCATTTAAATAGGACCCGTTTGCAATATTACATTTTACTCTAATCACATTTACATTATTAATGTTTATTTTATTTGTAGATTCAAACTGTACACCAGG